CCCCCCCTCCCCACACGTGTTACCCCCCGCCCCACGGGCTGGGAGGCCCCGCCCCCCGAGCCCGGGCTGGGCCAATCAACGCGCGCTGCCCGGCCCGCCCCGCGACGGACGCGGTTTCTATTGGCTGAGCCCGGACTGGCCACCCGCGGGGGCGGGGCTTACGGCAGCCAATCAGAGCGCGGCGCGCGGGGTGGGTGCGCCCGGGTGGGGCCGGGGAGGAAATTGGGGACCCCCCCACACACACAAAATGGGGCTAAAACAAACAAAAAATGGGAGCGGGACCCTCCAAAATGGGACCGGGAACCCCAAAAATGCCCTCGGGACCTAAGAAATGGGACTAAAACTCGCCAAAAACGCGACCGAAACCTCCGCAAATGGGAGCGGAGCGCACCCATAGTGGGGTCAAACTCCAAAAGGCGATCGGAACTTTCAATATTTGAGCAGAGCTCTCCGAGTGGTGCTCAAACACTCCGAAATTGGGCAAGACTCTTCCAAAATGGGGCAAGACCCCCACGAAACGGGGCTGGGAGCCCGCAAATGGGACCGGTACCCCCAAAATGGGACACACACCCCCCTCAGCCCGGGCTGGAGCTTTTCCCACTGGGGCCCCCCGAGTTCTGGGGAAGGTTTTGAGGGTCCCTGAGGATGTTTTGGGGTCCTTGCGGAAGGGGGAAAGCTGGGAGGGTCTCTGGTGTGCTGTAGGGACCTGGGGGAGGTCAGGGGTCCCAGGGGACATTTTTGTCTTTTTGGGGGTATTTTGAGGGTTCCTGGGGGGTATTTCCTGTTCTTTTTTTAAGGGTATTTTAGGGGAGGGGGTGACTCGTTTCTGTGCCGTCCCCAGCTCCTGTGCCGTGCGCCTCGGACCAGCTGCGCTGCGGTGACGGCTCGTGCCTGTCGCGATCCTTCGCCTGCGACGGCGAGCGCGACTGTCCCGACGGGGGGGACGAGCTGGGCTGCGCCCCCCCGCCCTCTCCGCCGCCCTGCGCCCCCTCTTTCTTCCGCTGTGGCGACGGGAGCTGCATCCCGCGGCTCTGGCGCTGCGACGGCGATCCCGACTGTCGCGATGGCGACGACGAGGAGCCCGAGCTGTGCGGGACCCCCCGGCCCCCCCGCGCCTGCCCCTCGCTGCAGTTCCCCTGCGGGTCCGGCGAGTGCATCCACAGGCGGTGGCGTTGCGATGGCACCCCCGACTGTCGCGACAGCTCCGACGAGGAGGGGTGTGGTGAGTGCCGGGGGAGGGGCTGGGATGGTTCGGGAGGTTCGGAGGGGGTGGGGGTCGCTGCCCTGCTGACCCCCCCCTCCCCTCGACGTGTCCCCACAGGTACGCCCCCCCCGTGCCCCTCCGGGCAGCTGCGCTGTCGCGACGGGCGCTGCATTCCCGGGGCCCGGGCTTGTGACGGGACCCCCGATTGTCGCGACGGTGACGACGAGGAGGAGTGTCCCGACGGTATGGGGGTTGAGGTTTGGGGGGGTT